CCCCAAAACCCCAAAACCCCAAAACCCCAAAACCCCAAAACCCCAAAACCCCAAGAATTCAATTGAAATTGGCAAATATCAATTTTGAATAATAATTAAAAGGGGTTTTAGTGAAGATTATAAATGAATTTAAAGGAGATCCATCTGACCACACAAGTTCAAACACTCACAAGGAAAGTGGCGAATCTTGAGAGTGATAAGAATAAGGTAAATAGAGTCGAGGGATAGGTGTTAAGGAGTTTCAGGGCTTTGGGGATTTCAAATTTTGACTTTTTGAGGATTAGAAACTTAATTTTTCTAACAGCTAGTCGACCAAGTTCAGCATATGAAGGAAGAAAATCGGAAATTGAAATAGAGAAAAAGGGAGAAAAGATATTGAAGCTAAGGCAACTATAGGTATGTGGAAAATTAGGATTTAAAGGAAAGGAGATATCAAAATGATAGGTCTCAAATAACCTTCTTGCTTTCATTTTTCTTTTAAGTTTAGAAATATTTTAATTATTTATTGTAGAGAAACTTGAAAGAAAGCTTCAAGTTGCATTATCTCGTATAAATGAATTTGAAACAGAAAATAAACAACAGAGTAAAATAAACAATGAAGAAATGTATAAGGTACATTAGTCTAGCAACAATTGTATTAAAACTCATCAGGGAATCAAATCATTTAAAAAATATCACAGTTATAGATACTTTTTTGGATTTCTTTATCAATTCTATGAAAAATCCCTTTCTAAAATATTACCCAAAGCTCACTTTTAACAATATCTCATAAATCTGAAGCTAAGTTAATTTTTTTTGCTTGATTGTGACACACTTAATTCTCTGATTCATCAAAAAAAATTAATAGGCTTCTTCTCCAGAAATCTCCACCTTGCTCCAAGAGAAGCAGGACCTTGAGCTAAAACTCAGGGTCCTTACTAAAAGGATGAATAACTATAAGAAGAAATCTGAAGAACTTAAGTCAAAAGCCCAACATATTCTTGAAGTTTTTAGGAATATGGAAAAAGAGAGATATGGCATCTTGGTAAGCAGCCTGAATTATATTGCCTAGCCTGTCAAGAATGCAGCCAGATGTTGCAAGTGTCAGGATTTGCCCGTACTTTCTTCTCCGAATCACTCCCCAGTGACTTTGAATCGGAAGCCTTCGTTGATAGACTTTTCTCTTACTTCTCCACATAAAAATGGATTTGAGATTTCTGTGAGCAAGATAGCAGCAAGGACTTCTTTAGTAAGCAACAAAGAAGTAGAATCTGCATCAGGTATCTTTCTGCCTTATTCTGTAGAGTTTCCACTTGAAAGAGTAAAAGAGATTGATTTTTACTTTGAAAGGACACATCGTGATTTTCCTGTTTGCTTAGATCACTTTAAAACAATAATAAGGAAGATAATATCCTATAAAATTTGTGTGCTAATCCTCCCACTAATTCCAATTTTTTCATATAAAACTCATCTCAAACTATTTTCAGATCCCAGTTATTCCCCAAGCCTCAACAAAACTTTGAATCTAATTCCACTCAGCACTATATTCCTTTCAAATCTCCTATATTTTCTTAAAATTCTCAATAGGCCAGTCTCCAAAACCCACCTCTACAGCAACACAGTCATGACCCAACATGTGCAGTCTGGGGCCCCACTTCAGAGTCTCCTAGAGAAAGAAGGACGAGTAATTTCGGAGCAGGAAACGACACTGCAGAGTTCGGAGATGCCAGTGACCAGAAAGTAAGGGATTTGGATGAGATTTAGGAGCAGAGTGAGGAGAGGTTTGGGGAGAGTTTAGAGTGGGAAGAGAGAGAAGGAGATGAGGAGGGAAGGAGTGAGGATAAGGAGAATGAGAGTGGAAATGGGGGATTAAGTAGAGATTTTGATGGTAATGTGTATTTTCTTATGTTAATAAGGAATTTAGGCTTTGGAAAAGAGAAAGTGTTGAGGGAAGAGAATCAGAACAAGCAATCCAGCGTTTCTCTTCATCCTAACAGCTTGACGAGGAAGTTGGAATGATATTTAAGTCCAGTGAGTTCAAACCCAAACTCAAGCCTTGTCAAAACTCTTCATAAACCCTCAGATAATCCTAACGAGTTAAATTCAACTTCAAAAAATCAGAAAAGATCTAAAATAACTCCTTGCTACCTTGAAAAGGAATTTAACTTGACTACATCCAATTTCACTTACAAATCTCCTAGTAATTGAGATATATTCAATGAGTTCAAATCATCAGATAATCTTGAAATAGAATTTTCAGGAAGCCCTTAACCATTCTTACAATAATTCAATCATTCTTTTATATTACGGGGTTTTGGGGTTTTGGGGTTTTGGGG